CTACAACACAATACAATCCACCAAAACAATACAATTTACTCCAAAACAATACAATTTGGTAACATAAGCTGAGGAATGACAATAGAGAAAATATTCTTTGGCTTTTTTGTTTTTGTAAGTAAATTATTGTATATAAGATAAAACCTTTGTATTATCTTTGTGTGTCCAATAAAAAAGTGTCATCCATATTCTCAAGTCTGTCTCAACTGTGAGCTCAGGTGTTTCAGGCAGTGTTGGATGGTGCTGCTTGGCATGTGCAAAATGCACGTGTGCAGAACCAAGGTTGAAGTGAAGTCCTGTGACACACAAACGAGCCCTTCCAGAAACACCTGTTTGTGTTCACTATACATTCTATTGTGAATTAATTTTTGGTTATTCCATGTTCAGAATCTTTCACTCTTGCCCAAAATTTTCACAATCCCCTACTTCAGTTATGCAATTCCATGCGGGGTAGTGACCCACAGTTCAACGAGATAGATTCTAGGGTGTCTCCATTAAATGGCATGCTGTATTTCTAAGGTCCACTGTCCTATTATTCACTTGAGTTTTTTAAAAATCCTTCTCCCATTGTACTGTAATGCCATTTCCATCATGAACTGGGTAACTCTATGTGGTGCTTTCCCTACATTTTCTTTTTTGTTTGCTTCTTTTAGTGTTTCAAGACAGGGTTTCTCTGTGTAGAAGCCCTAAGCTGTCCTGGAACTCTCTCTGTGGACCACACTGGCCGAGAACTCAGAGATCCACCTGTCTCTGCCTTCCAAGTGCCAGGACTAAAGGTGTGCACCACCACTGTCAGGCTTCCCTACATTTTCTATTCTGTTCCATGGGTTAGTTTCCTGGCCTCACACCAGACCATCGTATCTTCATGCTGATAGCTTTGGACTAGGTCTTGACAGCTTATGGTAAAAATGTTCTTTCAACTTTATCCTTTGAGACTCTTAGCTATTGTTGACATTTTCGCATTTTCTTAGGATTTTTAGTCAGTTTGCTTACTTTAAAAAAAGTGAACCTATTCAGATTTATTTTTCTAAATCAAGAGTATTTTGAATCTAAAAGGCTGAAGTCTTTACAACTTTGAAGTGTCTACTTCAAAACTTTCATTTCACTCATGGCAGCTGTGTAATGAGACGTGACTATCAGAAGTTTGCCCTCCAAGAGCCAATTTATGGTAAAGGGCTCTAAACGTCTGCCAGAGGGTACTAGTCATACACCATGTCATATAACAATGCTCAGCGTATCGTAAGAGTATACTACCTTTCCATCTGACCCTCAGTGGACTTGGAGAGGGGCATGGGAGGAGATGATGGAGGGAGGGTTGGATTGGGAGGAAATGAGGGAGGGGGCTACAGCTGGGATACAAAGTGAATAAACTGTAATTAATATAAAAATAAAAATTTAATTTAAAGAAGAGTATTCAGCCTAGACATCCATCTGCTGGGGGGTACTAGTGATACGCCACGTCATAAACAAGAGCACAGTGTATCGTAAGAGTACACTACCTACAACAACACATCTACCTAAGGTGGTGCTGTGTTTGCACAGCCATGACATTCCCAGCAACGTTTCTGAGACTGTTTCCTAGCATCATGGGAGGCATAATCATTTATTCATCTACTGTGAGCTTTCTGCCTTGACACAATTTTAAAGTAAGTTTTGCTGTATTCTACTTCTCAGAAGTATCTCAGCCCTCATGTTACAGTTGACCACAACCCTAGATTAGAATATTTTAATCATTCATTTCTATCCTAACTTACATTGAGCTCTATGTGGTAGTTACCGTCTATAACAAACTGAGACTCTTTACCATACTCCTAAGTCATAAATGGAGTATTGGAAAGGATGTTGAAATAGCAAAGCAGCTCCAATATTTTTCCTGAAATGTATTCAAGACATACCACACCAAGTACTTAGACAAATTTTTCTTGTTTTATTTTCAATATTTTTGTGGTAGTTGTGATAATTCCCTAGTACATGCTAGGGAAGTGCTGTAACACACACACACACACACACACACACACACACACACACACACTCCCCAGCCTATAATTTATTTTAAGTTCGGTTTGTTTATTGATACAGGGTCTCACTATGTAGCTCCAACTGGCCTCAAACACAAAAGATTTGCTTGCCTCCTAAGTACTGGGATTAAAGGTGTGTACCACTACACTCTGCTTTTTTTAAATTAAAAAAAAATCAAAAAACATAAAGCCGGGGGTAGTGATGCATGCATTTAATCCCAGCACTCAGGAGGCCGAGGCAAGTTAATCTTTAAGTTTGAGGCCAGCCTGCTCTACAGAGTGAGTTCCAGATCAGCCAGAGAGAAACCTTGTCTCAAACAAACAAACAAACAAACAAAACCAAAACCAAAACTAATACCAAAAGGAAAAAGAACACATAAAATCACTTTCAGATCAACTCCATGCCTTGGCAAGAGAAAAATATAAGCTGCAAAGCTGATTCTGTCACTATTGTTGCCTAGTTCTATGTCTTCCTACAAGTCAGCACAGGATTGACCTAGATGGGGTGTGCAGCAGTTTCCTTTTTCATCTTCATGTTCTTCTATCTTCCAGAGGAGCATACTGAGCACTGAAAGCCCCCAGAGACAGAAGTGAGCTGGCCAATGTGAAGCACACCTAGAGCGCTCAGCAAATGCCCACTGAAGGAATGATCAAGTGTCAGCAAACGGAGGCTTAACGTTTACTCCAAACACCACTATGAGCCCTGTTTTTTCCTTTATTAACTACAAAAGCACTATTTGGATTCACAAGAAAATGTGAATCATTGCTCTTTGATAGGTGTATCTGAATTCTACTTGAAAGAAAAAAATTCAGGGTTATAGATTATTACTTTAAAGCAATTCCCAAGGATGCAGAAGTTATAGGATGTATTTTAACTATCAGTTCCCACTCCACTGGAAGGAAGTATGTTAACACCCTGTGGGAGGGGTGGATTGCGAGAGGAAGCTCAATACTTGGTCCTTATTGTTCCCTCCTCCCAAGGGAGCCAGGGTACACTAGCAAATTTCCTTTTAACAGCCAAGAAGCTTTAGTTTTTTCTTTGCTTGACAAGGCTTGACTGATGGATGTCTAGAGAAACGTTCACTTAAGTTTTACACTTACTATTTTTAAAGTACTTTTAACTCCAGAACTTGGGGGGCATACACAGGCAGATCTTTATATAGAAAGAGTTTGAGGCCAGCCTGATCTACATAGCCAGTTCCAGGCCAGCCTGAGCTATACAATGAAGCCCTGACCCCTCCCTCAAAGCAAGCTACTATGAAGCATTTGAGTCATTAATGAGTGCTATCTTTGAACATAGGTATTCTGTGTATATTGTTTGTGTCAGTGTGATTACAGGCAATACTGGCGAGATAGACATATGCTAGAGTTTGTACTTCAGGATTATATTTTATTCTCTATTTCTGTATGATAATAACATTTTACCTCTCTTTTCTATCATATTTTTACCTTAGTGTTTCTGGACCCTTTTCTGCATAATAGCTTCACTCTTTTGACTTTAATTACACTTAAGCCGTTAACAAGAGAGTGCTGAGTAGCTAATGTAATCCCTGAAGTTCCATACATAAGACTGTGTCATTCTTTCACTAAGTTTGCTTTCCTTTGGGAATGTTGTCATAACCACAAGGCTATTCCCCAACTATGTAGCTTAGGAAAATTCCCCAGCATTACTACAGAGAGTAGATCTGAAAAGGTGGCAGCCGTATGGTGGTATTACAGTAAGCCAGAGAAACAAGGGTGTCGAGTTAGGACGGTGACAGTGGCAACAGGAAGGAGATTGGGGTAAAAGGCTGTAAAGGCAGGATAGATGATTTCGTTTCAGAACTGGCTGTGGGTGAGAAGTAGAGACCAAACAAAGTTTTCAGCTTTAAATAGCATTGGGGTTAAACCGTGGTTTGGTTCTTACTAGTCTGCGACATACAGACTACACCTCCTAGTCTCTTTGTGATCTTGCAATTCATTTTAACGAAACCCCAGTTTTATCCTCTATAAAACAGGTAGACTAATACCCATGATAGTAGCTGACATAGAGGCTTCGGTGTTTGAAAACTGTGGCCCACAGTGCCTCGTACACAGATAAAAGTGGGGAAGGTGACAAAACCACAACACTGCAATAAGGACACTGGGTGTGAGTGCAATTTTCTACTAAAAACATCTTCACCCAAAGGGGTTCTGTTAAAGTCTGATAACTTTACATGCACATCTCCTCCCAGTGCTGGGGTGGGGAGGGAGGCCCTACTTCTGGAGCCCTGCTGTAAACTGGCATGATGCACTTTGAGCCAGGAACCCAAGTCAACCAGGCTTGTTTGCTATTTCATGTACCTTGAACTAAAACAGCTAGGTCTACAGCTCAGTCTACCTTACACTCTTCATTTGTGGAAAAGGAACAGAATAACGACAGCCGGGCCATACCCATGCCACTGACGGGCAAGAAAGTGCCGGAAAAGAATGGTCTCATCCGCTCTGATCACGGGTTATCCGGATGAGCTTACCTCGAGGGCGAGGATGAAGCAAAAACTCGAGAGGCCTGGGTTCTTGCTCTTAAGTCAGGCTCCTAAGCCATTAATAAAATGTGCTCACGACTGTCGTCAGAAATGTCCACAGGGACAGGAAGGGGAGATATGTAAACAGATGTGAGTGTGCTTACAAGGCAGCGCCCAGCACCCCAAGGCCAGCGCCAAGTCTGGCTGTGACCGCCCTGTGCAGCCTCGCACGTTATTCCCCCTGCCATTCCTCAGACCCGGCCTCCGGGTGGGGGGAGGCAGGGCGGCAGGGCGGCAGGGCGGCAGGGCGGCATCCTCCGCCTTCTCATCTCTCAGGCGGTGTGAGCACGTCCGCGGGATACTCACTGGGCTCCGACAAACACCTACGCTATTGATCCGCAGGAGCCCAGCAGCCCCGGCGCGCTCCCCGCCGACGCGGAGGATGTGCGAGAGCGCGGCGGCCCCGAGCCGCGACCATGGCAACGCGAGAGGCTCGCCGCGCCGCCGCGCCCGCTGACGCCGCGCGGCGCGCCGGATTGTGACGCACGCTGCGGCGCGGGGCCCGCGTTCTCGAGTGACCGCGGGCGCAGCCTCGGGGCCTCGCAACGGCAGCAACGGCCGAGGCAGGCGGGGTCAAGATGGTGGCTCCGCTGGCGGGGGAGGCTCTGGAGGGAGGAGGAGCCAGACCCTAGCCGGCCGGAAACACCGACGCCCCGAGGCCTCCCGGGAGCCGCCGCCGCCGCCGCCGCCTGCTCCACCGAGGGACGCCCGCGGGCGGCGGGGCGGGCCGGGACTCAGGACAGGAGGCGGGCGGGGGCGGAGCCACTCTCCTCGGCGCCCGCCCCGGCCGCGGCCCCGGGCCTCCCCCGCGCCGCCCTGCCCGGCCCGCCCAGCCCCGGTGTGGCAGCGGCTCATGGCGGCGGTGGGGCCCCCGCAGCAGCAGGTGCGGATGGCCCAGCAGCAGGTCTGGGCGGCGCTCGAAGTGGCGCTCCGGGTGCCGTGCCTCTACATCATCGACGCCATCTTCAACTCCTACTATGATTCCAGCCAAAGCCGGTTCTGCATCGGGCTTCAGATCTTCCTCCGACTCCTCGGTAAGGACAGCGGGCTGGCCTGCGGGCCGAGGCGTGCCCTGTCCCGGGCGGACGGGAGCGGCAGGGCGCTGGTGGCACGCGGCTTGGGGGGCCTTTTGGCGTGGTGTGGGGACCCGTGATGCTTGCGCCAGCGTTGACAGCGGAGTGGTCCTGGCGGGGCTGAGTGCTGTTCGGTTGGCGCTCGGATGAGGTGAGGAGAGAGAGCACGGCTGTGTGAGCATGCGGCTCCCCGCCTGCTGTTTCTCTGGGGCAATGACTGCTGGCTTACCGCGCGTCCAGTGCGACAGCCCTGGAAAAACAACTGTCCCGGTCCCGCCGTGTGTGACCTTGGACTTGAGCCAAAGCTTGAGCCCCTGTCTTCCCCTTTTCACGAGGCAGAGTGTGTTGTCACTTCTGTGTCTTGGAGTCCACGGGATCGTGAAGTGTTTGAGGGGAACGGACATAGAAGCCGGGAGACAGAGTTTTGAATGTCAGACCTTGAAACCATTTCTAAAAGTCACCGCGAGGAAGGTTATACTTACAACGAACCCTGAAATCTTTATCTGAGTAAAAATAAGCTGTTCAGTGTGACTATGAAAACTTAACCCCAGGATGATGAGACATTTGCAGGAGACTTAGGAAAACCAGTCATTTCCTATGGGTTGAGTACTGAGAGCATTTAATATTTCATTTTCTATTTCTCTCTGCACTACATCACCAGAATGAGAGACATATATAAGGACATTTTTTTTCTATTAATTACAGCTTGACAGATTTTGTCGATGAGGTAATTGTTGAGTTTTTAAATGGCTTCTTGCTGTTGAAGTGTTGGGGATGGGGTAGGCTGGTAGTCAGGTCCTCTGTCAGAAGTGCAAGCATCTGTTGCCTTTTTCCCCACAAAAAAGGAGTGTCAGTAAAGACGGAATTTTGTTCTTAGGAGTAACAGTTTTTACATTTGTCTGCTCTAAAGCATTTTCACGGGTATTACCTAATCTGTCAGTCACTCCTCAAAGGTGGAGAGTGTCAGTCTCACTTTCCAAGTGAAGAAATGAGGTTGTACAAGTTTTAAGTGTTTGGGATTTGGTGCACAGCTGGTGGGTGCTTGCCAGAACTTAAAAACCCTTCTGACATCAAGTATAGTTTACTTTCTTTCATCCTCAGTGGGTTGAAGTGCAGTAGAGTGTTCGGAGTTGGTCTGGTGCTATTTAGTGAAATGCTAAATACTGGCTCCCAAGTGATGAGTAACCCTTGCTACCTAATTTCAAGTTGATTGGTTAATGAAAATAGCTAGAAGCCTGAAACTAGGCAGAAGAGAAATAGGTGGAGCTTAGGTTCCCAGGCTCTTAAAGTGAGATGAGGACCACTAGGCAGGAGAGAAGAGGAGAGGAAGTCCATGGGGCAGTATGGACCATGAGCATGTGGCCGTGAGGGTTGGCCTGATGGGATAGGAGCAGCCAAGGTGGGAACAATTATGACAAGTAACTTGGGACGTATAGCTGGGAAATATCAAAATAGTTTAGAGGGTTGATAATCTGCTCAGTTACTGTGCTTTAAAGCTTTTATAAATCTAAAAGGTCTCTGTCTCAATTATTTGGGAACTAGCTGGGGTAGAGAAGTCTTCTAGAGTTTAAATCCCTGCCACAATAGTACAGAGCAGTGTTTTTACCATTAGTGCTTATCTTTAAAAAAAAAAAAAAAAAGTGGGAGTGGTGTTCTGCAAGCACAGGACTTACAAGTGATCTGCTGGGTACACAAGTTCAACCATTCTACTTTTTTCTGTAAAAGTTACTTCCACCACACTGTGGTAAAAGCAGGGCTGTATGTGAGAGGAGTCTGATACACATTCCAGAGATAGTCCAGCCACTGCCTTGAATGTCTTCGTGACATAATGACTGCAGATTCTGAGAACTCTTTGGGGCCCTGGTGATTTAATGCAATGCCAGGAAAGTTTTCCTTCGTTAGGTCCTTCATAGTAAGGATATTCAAGAAAACATTTGTTTCCCCTGCCTACTCCTCATACCTTTTTTTTTCTTTACAGAAGTTTTGTATTTGAGAATTTCATTAAGAACTGCTAGTGATCCATTTAATGGATCCATGGTTTTGTTTTGTTTACCTTTATAAAGACAGACAATGGTGATATTGTCAACACAGAAACACAACTCACCTCAAGTCGGATAAGAGATAGCAGGGACTATGGCCCATGGACACTGAGATGATCCCAGATTCCATGTTCCAACCTGGTTTGGATGTTTGATGTTTTTATAACACACACAGTTTCATAATCAGGGCACTTTAAAAAAACATTAGTGGAATTGTTAAGTAAAGGGGTCAAAGCAAAACCTAGATTCCTGCTACAGACCTAGGATGCTATCTGACGCATACTAAGCCTGTTGTTGGGTACTAAGGCTTTAAGTTACTATATTCCAAACAGTTTCTGAGTTAGTCACTGGATGTTAGGTCTCACCCTGACTTAGGCAAGGAGTGACTAAAGGGCTAAAGATAGTCCAAGATAAATTGTAATTAGGTTCTGGACCTGCAACATTCCAACCTCCTCACAGCCATTGAAGTTGTAACCACTCAGCCTTGCAGAGGGTTCATTTTGAAGGTGCAGCTTCTGTTCACAGCCATCTTTATCACAGAGTTTAGGACAATAAATAACCCTTTAAGACATCATTTGGCTGTTCATGTGTTAATGCTTACTTTTAAAAAACATTTTAATGCTTCAGTTAAAGACTTTACTTTGTTACAGATACTTCATTTTTTTAAATCATCAGATATTTGAAAAAAATTTATCCCAGAATATTGAGCCATGTTTTATTAGAAGTTAGAAATCAACTTCCAAATTTATCATCTAACGGTTTCCTAGATTGTAGTAGAATAGTTGTGCAATTCTTTTGTTAGTAAAAAAAAAAAAATTGTGATTAAAAAAAAAATCACCTTAGGAAAACTCCTAAGTTTTCAGTGGACTAGGGAAGGGGACTGGGGGAAGAAGAAGGGAGGGTAGGGCTAGGAGGAGTTGAGGGAGGGGCTTCAAACGGGATATAAATGAATAAATTGTGAAAAAAAATTTTTAAGTCACCTTAAATGAAAGTATTGACAAATATGTGTGTGAAAGATCTGAATGTAGACTTGTTAGGGACTCCTCACTCTTATAGCCTATTCCTCAATATTTGCCCAACACACCCTGTCCAAACATAGTAATTTTATGTTAGTGTCTGCAGCATTTACTCCCTCTAACTACAGAGTGGTTTAACAACTGCACTTTGATTGATATCAAATTGAGATTTCAAAAGGTCAGAAAGTAAAGCCTTTTCTTTTGGAGATATAAAGAAAACCATAACAATTTGTTTAGGAACACAGAACTATTTAAGAAGTATTGAAGTAGTAAATGAAACTCATCCCACAGTAACATAACGCTAAATTAGCAAGTGTAAACACAGAGGAGAAGATACAAGCACAGGAGCTTGTTTTAGTAGAGTTACTCATTCGGTGGTAATTGAAGTGGCAAAGGATTTTTTAAATAGACACACACAACTCAGAAATTACAAAGGACAGTAAGATAAGTGAGTATTTAAAAATGAAAAACTTCTTTATTGTAAATCCTTTAAAAATGACAAACTGAGAGAAAAATGTTTACAGTGTGTCTGGTAAGTCCTTTAAAAAGAAAGTTTATGCTTCTGTAAGTGGGCACTTTATGAATTTCAGGTGGCCAGTAAAGAAATAGTTCCTAGCCTCACTTATAATGAAATAAATGCAGCTTATCTGTTAGATTGGTGAAGAGTTCAAAGTATGATTTAAAAGTATTTGGCAAAGGTATTTACCTACTTGAACAGGTAAATTTATACATTTTGTTAAGCCATCACGACATATAAACCACTTGGCCATATCAGCTGATACTGGTTGTTTGTTGAGTTGGTTGGTTGGTTGAGGCAGTGTCTCACATAGACTAGGTTGGCTCTAAATTGAAGATGACCTTGAACTTCTGAATCTCTTGCCTTACCCTAGTACTGATGAGCATATAAAGGTTTGCCACTGTAGATGGATTTTTAAGATGCTGGGGACTGAACCCAGGCTGGCAAGTGTGCTAGGTGGGAAAGTGTTCCTGCCACCTGACTTTTATCTCTAGCCTTCAAGTGACATTTGCTATGTACCTTTTTGCTCACAATTCTAGCTGTAAGGACTTGGAGATTCTAGTTATACCACCCTACGAGCAAGGATACTCATTACAGCATTATTAAAAATAACAACGGCAAATTTAAGGCTTACTCTAAATGTGTTTTAGTTGGGAATCTGTTCATTGTAAAAGAATGAGAATTTTCTTTGGTACTGAATGAGATCATCAATTCAGTAGAAAAACCTTTGAAAACCTGTGATGTGAGAAAGCAGAGTGAAGCTGAGGTAATTATGTCTGGCAGAAGAAAAGACCAAGGTTTCTCAGCAGTAGCTCTGTTGACACTTTGGACAGCATAAACCTGGAGATGGGACACTATCCTCTACAATGTACCCTTTTTTTTTTTAAGCATTCTTTGTCTTTTGCCTGCCTTCTGTCAGTAACACCCCTGTCCATGTAACACACACCTCAGTGTTCCAGCCAAATCTGTTCCTAGATTTTGCCAAATGTCTCCAGGAGGCGGGGAATCTAATCCTGGTTGAGAACCATGGGGATAAACAAATAGACTAGGGATATAAAATACAAAGCTCAGAGATAGACACCAATATAATAGAAGTTTGATAGATTTCAGAAGTAGAGTTGAATTGAGGTTCATGAGGTAAATATAATTAGTGATGGTTTACTTAATATGGAAAAATTATTGACTCCCTTTCTCTTATCTGCATGAATAATAATTTGTAGAGAGATTATATACCGAAATTTTAAGATTGAAAACCTTATAATAAAGCAGCATCTAAAAAATTTAAAAAATTGAATGTAAACATGGACATTGCTTATGACCAGCAAATACTTTATGTTCAGAATATTTTTAATTGCACACAAATATAGAAACTTCCCAGCCCTGTATTGT